GGGGGGAGAAGAGAGGAGCAGGTCAAGTTTCTGGCTTCTGTTCCAGGCTCTGCTGCCATCTTGCTGCTTTTTTGGACAAGTCATTTAACTACTTGAAACACACACAAAAAAAAAAATCAAAAAAAAAGAAGTCTCACTAAGAACCAAGCATGCTATGAGATCTTTGGCTGAAAGGACCTGGGTGGATATGAAAAAGATAATGAGTAGCAAGGATGGAAGAAACATTGCAGCTTTCAGTCTGATTTTTTTTCAGGAACCATTGTTTTTCCCAGTGTTACAATCTACTTTCATGAAGCAGGTGCTATTTGATTTCCTTTCCAAGATATCTCTGTTTCAAGGTTAGAGAAGGGAGACAGAGTTAGAAAAGAGGACAACTGTTGTTTTTCCTTGCCGCAGGATAGAACACCTTGGACTCAATGTTGTCCTTCAGCTCTTGGTTGGGGTTCCCTTGGAAATGGTGCATGGACCTGCGAGGATCAGTTTTGTGTACGTTGCTGGAGTTGTGGCAGGTAGGTGACACCTCTGGATGCCCCAAATGGAGAAGCATCTGAAAATGGTCTATGCCGACTTTTGTGTAGGAGAAATGTTTTGTGGTATTTGGGTGCAGGAGAAGAGCAGTCACTGATCTTCTCTGCATTGAAATTCTTTTGGAGTCTGGAAGTGGGAAACATGCTACAATTTGACATCTATTTCTAACTAGCCATAGTTTCTGTGTTTAGGAGACCTGCTAACAAAGCACCAACAACCTGTTTCTTTAAAATAGCCTTGCTTTAGATGGTCTTCCTGAATGTGGAGGTCATGCTATTCCTTTCCTCTTGTGTCCCACAGAGGCCTAGAAGAAAGGTGGCATCACAGGCATCCCTGCATGAAGAGTAATTTTTTTTTTCCAGGTCCTGGGCCACTGTGTTCCTCCATTTGTCCTGTGCTGTTTACTTTCTGCAGCCTGAGTAAGCAAGAAGTATTTGGCTGTAGGTTGTGAGCAGTGCTCAGGAATCTCAAAATTCATTTAATCATGAAGCCATGGGGTTTGAGATTTTTTTTTTTTTTTTTTTTTTTTTTAGTTTGTGCTGTATTGCTTTTATTTATGTTTGGCATTTCCAGCAGTTTGGAGGTGATGGAAGTTAGCTGACAATAGATCAACATCTAATTAAACAGGAGGAGAGTGTGAGAACAAGCAAGGGTTCACAGTGGAACTCGGACAATGACTGACTACTTTAGTTCAAGATTTATGGTGATATTTTTTTTTTCCAGCTACATAATTTTATTTTTTCCATAATGAGCAGATAAGGCCTTTGTAAAATGAGCTGCATTGGGTACTAATAAATCCTATATTCCGGGAGAGACACTGTGGAGAGAATAATTGGACTAGGACACAGGACTAGGCGTGGTACAAACACCATGCTATTTAATGTAGAGAAAGGAGTTAGCAGACCAGCTCCACCATCCCTTGCCTATTATTTTAATAAGCACTAAAGTGGTCCTCAATCTGCAACTTTTCAGATGTAAGCTTTTCTACATAGATCCATCTACCAAACCATGGGGCTTCATTTATGTATGTGTAAATACACATAGCACACCTGTGCCAGGTGAGTGAAGCAAGTGGGCATTGAATCTGTTGCAGTTGACCCCAGGCAAGCACTACAAGTTGCTGGCTGCCTCTCAGATTCCTGTGGCCATGGACTTGCTGTCAGGGTCTGCAGGGCCGGAGGCAGGTTTTATTGGGCGTTGGGCTGGGCTGAACACTCAGAGCTCTGGAGGCTTGTAGCCAGTGCCTGTGTGAGGCTCACTAGCCCATCTAGAATTACCGGTTCATTTCTGCTACATAAGTGATCCTATTTTTTTTTTTTTTTTTTCTCAGACAAGGTGCCACATCCTCATAGACTTGCCTTTCACACCTCATGACCTGTAAATTGTGGAAATGCCAAATGGAAAGGGAAAACTCCCCTTCTTAGTGCAGGATGGAACTACAAGTGTGACCAGACAATCACACACAGAACAGCATCCCATGATACCCGTACTTGTTTGAGTTGTTAGCCAATTATTAAATATGCTTTATTCTTTGACATGTGCCAGAAGAGAAAGAGGCACGCTTATACGGAGGATCTGGCAATATAAAGATAACACAGCTCCTAAACAATCAGGAATAAACAGTAAAATGTAGACGTGGGCCACAATGGCCACTCCTATGTTTTTCTTCCCATTTGTCTGGCTTTACTAAGAAGACATGTTGAGACTGAGATCAAGAGACTGAAGGTATATGCTCAGTGCAGTGTCCAGGGACTTAACTGCGAGTTCTCATTACTCCTTTCATAACTTCTCATTAACTTTTTCCTTAATGGCAGTATTTAAGACCTAAGAAGCCTCAGGGCCATACAGTGAAGCAAGGAGCTATCAGTAGAGTTGGCTGGTGGAACCTCAGCACTTTCTTGACCCAAAATCTGCTGAGCAATTAGCAAAGAAGGTTGTTAGGTTCTGTACTACCCAAGACTCTCTCAAGATTTGCCATTGTCTCTTTTTCCCATTCCCACTCATCACAAAGATCTTCATTATCCCTGCCTTTGTCTCTCTATCTCTCTTAAGTTCATCTTAAAGTTTGCAATGAAAGGAGCTTTGAGCAGATCCAAGCCTCCAATTGGGATAAGGAGAAGCATTGTCTATGTTTGGATGTTGTTATTAGTGGTGCCTTTATGTGATTGACCTGTCATTTTGCTATCTTGTGTTTACTGCCTCCATGCAGGTTATTTTTAGGTAGTTCTACTCGATGAGTTTTGTAGGTAACAGGCAGTGCTTTGATCAGAGGCCTGTGCTAAGTTACAAGTCCCCAGTTCCTTCTCACTGTGCAAATGCTTGTCTTGCCAGCATGGGAGCTACTTCTATTTTATCTTCAGGTGATAGATACACCTGAAGATAAAACAGACATTTTTCTGTCTCCTGCTTCCTTGTAACGTTAATCAGGGTGTAAGTGCCTTTTTACAGCACAGGTTTGAAGATACATTGCTGCCTTGCTTGGCTGCTTTTAAAGTAGGTGCAAAAGAATCAATCAATTACTGTCTTGGCCGTACTACAGGACTGAGATAGATTCTCAAGTCAGTGGATTTCCCCCCCACACTCTTTATCTGTATATTACTGACCTGCAGCAATTAGCACAAAATAGGCAGTAGCAGGGATGTAGGGTAGGAGAGACTGTGTTTATTTGGCTGGCAATTGTCACAAACCCTTGTTCTTTCTCTCAGGGTCCCTGGCCGTGTCAGTAGCTGATATGACTGCGCCTGTGGTGGGCTCCTCTGGAGGCGTGTATGCTCTTGTCTCAGCTCACTTGGCCAATATAGTCATGGTGAGTACCAGAATGACTGTCTAACATCTTTGGAAGTGAGCCAGGTCTGGTAGCCCAAAGGGATTGGAAATATGGCCTGACCATAATGTTGGTCATTCAGAGCTTGCCACAGTTAAGAGTCTTGTCTCAGTAGTGTGTCGTGGCATGGAAATGTTAAACTGCAGTCGGTGGCTTGGTACCCTGATAACTGGCAGCTTGCCAGGAGAAACCAAAGGTGCTGGTAATCCAAGACTTACCAGTGTACTCCAGGCTATCAACTCTCCTTGCAAGAGCTGACAGTCTTTGGAAAAGGAGCAGCTGACTGGCTCTGCAGAAGTTGCAGACTTGTGTCTGTCTGTATGTGCCATGTAACGTTAGCAGGTACCTAAGGAAATTTAGTATTTGGTGGATTTGTGTGTATTGTATCCTTTATATCCATTTGTAAAACCCAGACTGAAACTGAACCCTGGGCATACTAGTGATGCATCTTTTTGCCTTTTCGCCTAACAAAGTACTTTACAATGGTCAGTAAATACCAGCATCGTCATTTCTCTAAGACCTGGAAACAGGAGCTCATCCAAGGTCCTCAGCTAGGCATATCTGCCTGTATGTCTCCTAAGCTGACCACTGGGCAAAAATGGCTTTGCTGAGACAGCTGATTTTGCTGTGATTAGGATTTGTGTGTGGTGGTACAGAGCTGCCTGTCTGTCCTGTACCAGCAATGTCAGAGCAGAATAACCATAAAAATGACGGTAATGTGGCCACCCCTCGGGTCTGAGTGGGAAGATAATGCGAATTGGCTGCGGTAGAGACAGAAGGTCTGTTATATGGGTGCTGGAAAACATGTGTGTGTGGTGGTACTTGTGTCATGCTAAAAGAAAACCTTGTATTTAATGGTTGTATGCAGTGAAGTCAAGCAGGCTCAGGCTGTACCCACGACGGTGCTGCTCCAGGCAGCCTTTCTAGCAGCTGGGAGGGGGGGAAGTGAGTGGTTTCCTGAGCAGAATAGGTCTCCTTTGCTGCCTTCAAGCTTTCTGGAGCGTGAATGAGCTGGGGACTGTTGCCAGATTAGGACAGTTGAGTGCCTGGCAGAGATAGGGAGTGGAGGAGAGGGGCTACCCATATACCACAGCGTTTCTACTGGCAAAATGCCTCCTTATATACAGTTATTTTCAGCATGATTTGTGTTCCCTTCCACTGGGCCAACAGCAGCAGGAGGGATTTTCCTCTGTCTCACAGGGTGGTAATGCAGACACAGATTCACAGGGTCAGAGGGGGACATTGGAGGAAGTTTGGTTTGCTTTAGAGGAGGAGGCTCTGCCAGATGTGTGTGGAGAGTCTTTACCAATTGCCTTACCAGACTTCTTAAAATATTGCAAAGCGGCCTGTCATTTCACCACTCATTGGCCTCCTCCAAATCTATTTAGCAAATGCTACCTTAGCATCTATATTTTTCCACTATCCGTTCCTCTTTTCTCATCTGAAATTACTTTTACTGCCTTTCCCATTTTGGTGGAGTTTTTCTTGCTTTTCTTTCCCTCTCTTCTCTCTCTCTGCTCATGTAGTATCTAGATGCTGAAAGACATGCTGGCCATTTGCTGGTGAAGCACAGAGTCTTGCACGGGTGCTTTGAGCGTGCTGGGAAGATGAGGGACTGTTGCAGGGAGGGTCTCTTGAATCTTCTGTTCCCTTGCGCCTGCTTGTAAAAATAAATATTCTTGGAATTATATACGCAAAATAACCATCACAGGGAAGTGATAAAGCATGTCACCCTAAGGAAGAGAGTGAGGGGAGGAATTCAGAACAGCTACATGGGAATGAAAACTGAAGGAAGCGGCACAGTATTAATCAGCATGAGTTCAGAGCCTTCTGACTGGGTTAGGTATCTCTGTGGAGAGATTGCATTTTTGCAGTCACAGAAGTGATTTACAGACAGATCCCACATAAAATTTGAATATATGTAATATGTATTGCAGAATATTTCTTCAGCAGGCTGAGAAGTCCCTGGGTGCCATTAAAGTTTGGCTGAAGAGTTGACAAGCGTGCTTTTTTTTTTAGTTCATTTAGTCACTTCATAGTGTTAGGAATCTAAACATTTCTCCCAGGATTTCTGACTATCATCCAGAGATTCTTATTCCACTATATTGATTACTGACCAAGCCTGAGGACAGAGGAGGCCAAATCCAGGCTTTCTTATGGCACTGTTTCCTTGGTATGCTTTAATTGAAGTCTTTATTTTTTTGTGTGTGCTCTGCAGAAGGTCCAAGTTGCAGAATTTCAGGGAGCCTGAGCTAAAGACAGTAGCACTGGAAAAGTACAGTAGGGCTTGAATGCGCTGAGAAATTGCCTGACAGTGTTGGGCTTCCAAGTGAATCATGATGAGCTGTGTGATGTTAACTAGAATGATAGTTGTGTTGAATGGTAGGTACTACTCAACATAATTTTGTTTAATGTGACCTAATACAACAGGGTTTTGCAGGGTCGGTAAAGTCAAATATTTTCATAAGTCAGAATTTAAGGTGAAACATCAAACTAATATGTTAAAAATTAGTCTGTCTGAAGAACGGAGAATGGCAAGGCCAGTCAAGGACCACACCGCACCAGCTGGATCTCAGGCAAGGAAGGTCAGTAAGACTGCCAGGCAAAGAAGTTGTGGACTTGTCCATAACTTGGACATGTCTGTAATATATCCTTTATGTTTATCTTCTCTGGGATTGACAGAACTGTGTTTGGTGCGGTGAGTGGAGAGTTCACAGCCAGGTGGCAAGGGCAATAGAAGGGGTTTGTTCAAGTGGTGGTCATCCTTGATGCTCTTCCAGTGCAGATCTGGATGTAAAGTCCCTCCAGGTTTGCATGCAGCATCACTTTGTTTTCCTTGTCTCTTTTCCAGAACTGGTCAGGAATGAAGTGCCAATTCAAACTGCTGCGCATGGCTGTTGCCTTGATCTGTAGTAAGTATCATGCAAGACTAGGCACACACACAATCCTATTTTGTTTGTCCTTATCATAAGAGTTCATGCTGATCTAGAGAGTTTTGACTTTGCAGCAGTTTTGGTAGGAACTTGCAGCTGGACCTTCTAGCAGCAGAAACCACATCACTCTCAAATGCAGATTTTGGCTTTCAACACAAGCATTTGTAAGTGAAGATTTGTTGTTAGCCAGCATCTGTAGCTTGTGACATTTGTGAAGACCTGGGACTTAAATGTCTTGTCTTTTGAATTCACAAACAAGCAATGCTTTTGTAATAATAATATTTAAGTTTCCTAGAGCATTTCTTATCTAGGGTGACAACAGTGTAATTCATTAAAGTGTGTATAATCTTCCAGCCATATCTCTAGGGTGGCATGATAAGGGAAACTAGGCCATGTATTCATCATGGAGAATTGTCTTCAAAGCCTAACTCTTTTTTTGTTGTTGTTGTTTTGTTTTGTTTTTTAATGGTTCTGGTACAAATTCTGGAAGGTGAATATTCCCCCACCTGTCCACACTCCCACAAACCCTGACCACTTTGCAACCACCTTTTGAGGCCTCATGTCTGTATGCCGCAACCCTGACATAGCTGTGGCTTCCCAGCTTCCCTGTGGTCACCGTATAAGGCAGTTTCTCCCCCTCCATCTCTTCAGGGATGCAGTGCTGCCTGCAAGATGGACTTAGGAAAGGATAGACCTAGACAATTAATTTATTTTTCCTTCTTTGTTCCAGTGAGCTTTGAATTTGGAAGAGCTGTGTGGCTGCGATTCCACCCCTCCGCTTACCCACCTTGCCCACACCCCAGCTTCATGGCTCACCTGGGAGGGGTGATGGTTGGAATCACCCTTGGTGTCATCATCCTGAGGAACTATGAGCAGAGACTCCAAGATCAGACTTTATGGTGGATCTTCCTTTCTATTTATGTAATTTTTGTCTTATTTGCCATCTTCTGGAACATTTTTGCCTACAGCCTGTTGGATCTAAAGCTACCTCCCCCTCCTTGAAAACATGGGACAGAAAACTTGAGAGTGAAGTCATCTGTCAGCTATGTTAAATGAATGAAGATGGAGGATCTATTTTTATATTCAACTTAGGGGAGGATGATTCTTTCAAACACAAGTGTATGCTGGAGGAGATGCTTAAAGAACTCACAAAAGAATGGGCTTGATCAGGTTATTCATAAATCTAGCAGGTACTATAATACTGGCTGGCCTGGACCCTGCAGTTTCTCCACTGCCAGGGCTCCCATTGGGCAGCCTGTACCTGGGCACTTATCACTTGGTTTGTTAGCACACATCAATATTTTGTATGAGGTATTTGTATTTTCCAGGTCAGTGCTGGAGTTATGGCCAGTTGTTGAATGAATCTCCTCAATGTTACTGAATGCTAAAAGGGAAAAAGAGCAGACATTTACTAAGTAGAGACTCGCATGGTACTCACAAGGCAGCTTGGGTTTGGTTTCTATGGACACATCTGTTCAGCCATGCCAGTGTCACTGTCTAATTACTTGAATGGTTCCTAAGATATTTTAGCCTATGGTGAAACCTGTCTTACGCACCTTTCAAAGGAATCGGCAGAACTTGATCACCCAAAGTGATGGAGACTGGTCTTCGACTACAGGTCAAATGAAATTGCACTATAAACCTTGGGAACACTTAGAGTGTTGTGGGCACCCAGCCAGAGGTGACTTTTACTGTGCATGTTTCACTTGGTTTTAATTCATTTTTTCCCCCAGCCTGCTGTGGCTAAAGGGTGTGACTGGGGTTTCTTTTTTGAGGCATGGAGAACAGAAGGGCAAATGTTCAATTGTGTTTTTATCAGCTGACAATCAGGTGCTGTTTTCTTCTCACTTTGTTTCTGGCCATATTGATCTAACACCTGGCCTGGAGCTCCTAGCAAGGATCTCAACTCTTCCAGCAGGTTCTTACTAGAAAAGTGGGACCGGGATCACCTATAGCAGTGCAGGGTAGGAACTGTCTAGTCTTTACAGCCATACAATCCATTTTGAGGCCAAATCTGTCCACTGAAGTCAGTGGAGTTAAATCAGGTTGTATGTAGCACTGGTTTCCCACTGAAGTGGAAAGGGTGTTACAGTGATCATTGTGACACCGATAAAACTGGTTTTAAAGTGACTGCTGAATTTTGAGGATGCCTCTTCCTGAGGTAACGGACTGTTCAGGGGCTCCAAGCAACAGTTAGTTGCAATGATGCCTTTTTCTTTAACATTGGTCATCCCCAGGTTTTAGCCGTCTGTAACTGGTCTATAGCACAGTCCATACAGCTGCCTGCACAGACCTGGGGACCAGCCTGGAACATGTGTAGCACAAGCAGTGCTTATAGGTACACTTCTCTGTAAGGTGCTTATGTTATTTTGCTTCTCACTTTAGAGAGCTGCCAAATAACAGTCCAGGAATGTGGATGCCCTCCTTTTCTCTCCCCTTTATCCACCCAGTTTGATGGCCTGGATAAAGCAGCCATAGGAGTCTCTCTAGACTATCTGCTTTCTTCCTTTTTTCTGTCTGCATACTGGTGCCCAGGCACCAGTCACCAGAGCCTTCCACGGCACATCTTACAGGCATTGTGGCAGTTGTGCTTGCTCTGTAGCAAAATGTCTCTGTATTGTGGGCTTTATTCTCTCACCTGTGTAATTGTTGCTGCCAGATGATACCACAAGCTAGTTAGGAGTCTTTCTAGACTGGACATTCACAAGTGCTTATCAGCTGCCCTCTTCTTTGCCTCTTACGGGAAAAATCTCTCTGGAAGGGTGAAGTTCTGCTCACACAGCATGTGCTAGTAAAACTGTTGCCTTGGGGAAAGGGAGGAGGGAGAAAATAAGCGTTTCTATAGCCTGGAATAAGCCTTACCTGCAAAAGAAACAATTTTTGCCACCTTTGTGTACAGGAATGGGATCTCTGAGGGCAACTGCACCTTTGTTGTTCTGCATGGCTAGTACATTGTTTGTGGGCCCTCAGATCAAGGAACAAGAGGAAAGGATAAAGGTCAGAGTTCTTTTCATTTTGGAGAAGAGGATTGGTTCCCTGTGCCATTTTATCTCTGCAGTTTGGGTCCAGATCAAAGCGGTCATGAGAGTTTGCATGCATCGTTTCAGGTCAGGAGCTGGCCAGCGAGTTTTGTAGTGGTGGAGATCATCTCCCTGGGGAGCAGCAGGCAAGCAGGAGAGCTGGGAGAGCAGCAGGAGAGCTGGGAGCTAGGAGAATATTGACAGAAGCATGGTTAACACATGAGGATGTTCCTTTCCTCACCTATTGCTGAGCCTTTCTGATTACAAGATGCCTTTAAACCAGAGGTGAGCAGAAATGGGAGTTCTCCTGGAAATTTTAGGAAGACTTTGACAATTTTGGTAGACAACTTCAATCACAACAAAACCCAGATTTTTTTGCCTGTAACTTACCAGAGTACAAGTATGCACCGATTGACTGTTATTTTTGTTTTCTCAAATGAAAGCTATTTAATGCCCATCAGTTTCTCCCCAGGAAAGGTTTCTGTGCCTGCCAGTGATGTGTCTGGGGTGAAGCAGCAAGCTACAAGTTCAAGGGCCACCTGTTTCTTCATCAGCCTGATCCTGGCTGGCATGTCTTTTGCCTCTGCTCAGGAGTACGAGGGAGCTGAACAGAGTAACCCAGGTGCCCTTCTTTGGTCCTTTATCCATAGATGAACATAGTTTACATGAAATGGTCAAAGCCACCTCTGAGACTGAGCTTATGACTTGTTCTTTTAAGCTGTTGTCCATCTTTATGACTTCCATTCTGTGTCCCCATGCCCTGTCGGAGCAAGGCTACAAGCAACCCTGGGGATCAGAAAGGCCAGGCTTTAAAGCAGTACTAGATTTATTGTGGGTGAAGAAATGAAACCCTGTCACACTTGTGCTCATCACAGCTGAAATCTCTCCCCATACACAGAGCAGGTTGTACACAAGAGCCTGTTTGCTAAGAATCTATCAGCTCATGGAGTCAGGAGAAGCACAAAGTGCTTAAGCTTTTATAATTATTTTTTTATCACTAAAATTATACTGTGAAAACTTGTTATGTTTCTACAGAGTATCAGGAAACTCAGTTATGTTGTTTTCTCATGCACCCAGGAGTGCCACAGCGCAGCAGCATCAGAGCTGATAGCAAACAGGCTTTTCTTTTACCTCCAGATGTCCTTGAAGCTTCTGGCTTATGTCGGAGACGTAATATTCTCCAGCCTGCTCATTTGTGGTTCCAACTTGCCACAGTCAGCAATGTGTTCCTGAAGGAGCCGTCCACAGAGGGACTGCTTTTGGTAATTGTTTTAGTTTTATTTCAGCTGCTGCCAGGTCTTTACATCAGTCGAATAAAATGTGAATCCATTGAACCTTACACACGTGCAGTGCTAGAGCAAAAGGCGAGGACTGTTACGAATCTGTATATTTATATATATATATA